ATTTTGACATTCTTCAGACAATGATGGTATCTAGTTTGAGAAGTGTATCAGAAATTCCTCAGCACAATACATGGTGCCGCTATCACCATACTTCACAGCTTGGATGATGTTCTCAGGCTTGCAAACTGCCAGAGAGCACGTCACTAAACCAAAAAAAGACATTTGTCCTCGAGTACATTTCCAAACTGTCACCTGGACTTTATACCGTTTCTAGAGAAAGGGCCTCTTCTTCTCTGAGTGGTTTTTCAGTTCATGTAGGTACTTGGTTAGTTTCATCCTTGATAAGGAAGCAGGAACTTTGAACTGTGTCTGGCATTAAATTAACTTTGTATGCAGCTAATGATGGCTCTCTTGAAAGAAATGGATTGTCTCTTGTTAATTTCTTCTTGTTTTCTCCAGACTGGTGAATATTTTGGGGCTGAGGTTTGTGCCATGGATGTGGATTCTGATGGTGTGACTGATCTAATCCTCATATCCTCTCCGATGTACAAAGACGTTGATAGAGAAGGACGAGTTTATGTCTGTGAATTAAGTCGTTTGGTAAATATTGTGTGATTTATGTCTTTTTGATTTGATGTCCTGTTATTATTTGGATAAAAACACATAACTTTTTCTCATCCACATATTTTTCCAGGATATGCAATGTCACTTTCATAAACCATCAGAAATAACCACACTAAGAGGTGATGCGTCTGTCAGAGGGAGGTTTGGGTCGTCTCTTGCTGTTCTGCCTGATATAAATGCAGATAAATTCAATGATTTGGCCGTTGGAGCTCCTTTGGAGAATGATGGCCAAGGCAGCATCTACATATTCCAAGGAGAAGGAGGAAGAAAAATAAATCCTACTTACTCACAGGTGAGCAAAACACAAACACAAACCATTAAATGCTTTTGGTTTTCAAAATGAGTTGAACCTTCACAGTTGGTAGGGTCATTATTGAATAGAGTTTACTTGTTCTTCATATTATTCTATAAGTTCTCTCCAGGTACTCTGACTTCCCCCCACAGTCCCAAGATGAAACTACTAGATCAACTGGTTATGTTCAGTCACCCTTAAAAGAGTGTGTGTTTGTCTGTTGCCTCATGGTGGGCTGGTGACCTTTACCCCCAGCCACCCTTTGACTCTGCACAGACAAGCTGATATAAAAAATTGATGGATGCACTTGATAAACGAAGATGTTTTTCATTACACAGAGAATTGCTGCATCTGCAGTCCAATCAGGCCTGAAGTCATTTGGCATCTCAATCAGTCAGTCTTCCTACGATCAGAGTGGTGATGGACTTCCTGACTTAGCAGTGGGTTCAAAGGGAAAAGTTGTCCTACTCAGGTATGTCTCCATTGTTGTTATTTATTAACACACATCTTCCCTAATTCAAATTATTCTTCTTCATTTGCAACCTAAATATGTTTATGCGATAAATGTGCTAATTGCTTCACGATCTCAAAACAAACAACATGGCCTTTTCTGTTTCTAGATCCAGACCAGTTGTAACAGTAACTGCCACTGTGTCGTTCGACCCAGATCTGATCCCAACTCAAAACCCAGACTGTTCAAAACCACTGCCAAGCAAGGCTACTGTCTGTTTTATGATGAACAAGTTGTCTCACATGAATGAAGGTACCTACTTGACTCTAATTTTTAATTTATATTTTTAACAAAGCACTTTCATGAAACAAAACACATTTTCCAGCTCAAGCACAGGTTAATTTCACTTTAACATTGGACGCAAATCGTAAGATACCAAACAACCGAGCTGAGATCAGCCAGGATGTGAGGCACAAGAGTGGATCGCTTAATCTTATATTAAATAAGGAGAAATGTGATTATGCTGTCTTCTTTATCAAGGTAAGTTCTAATGCAACTATTGCAGTATTCTACAACTACATAAGATTCTACTGTTTTTTTAAATTATCTTTTGTATTTCATAATGTCTCCATTGTCTTGAAGCCTTGTCCAGATGATTCTTTCAATCCACTCAATAATGAGCTCAGATTCACATTTGATGGTTTAGTTTCTGGCTCAAACCCCAGACCAAGCCTTTCTCCAAAGGTTCAAACCACAACCTTGAATTCTGTGAGTAACTCCTGTACACCCTTTACCTGATGAGCAAAATCTTCATGGTTCATAGTTCCTTTCATGGCTACTGCTATTCCGTACAAAATGTTTATGCAGTATTAAATGACAAATTTATCTGAAAATCATATGACTGACCAAAATATATTTTTTTCTGAGTAGATCTCCTGAATAGTTTGCTTCTCATTCACAGCTTGGCTTTAAGATCAACTGTGGAGCTGATAAAGTTTGTGAAGATAACTTGAAGGTGGATTTCAACTTCACTACGTAAGAGAGTTGTTTCTGGAAGTAAAACCATGTGTGAACTTTTTCATATTATGTCTACAAAAACTACACATCTGCATATTTTTGGCAAAAGCAACAACTAAATGAGACTGAAAATCTTCAAGTTCAGCAAACTTAAGTTACAGTTTACTGAAATCAGGTGTTGACTAGCCTGGTGAAAACCATCCCCCTGTTCTACCTTGTGCCTCATACAAAGGGTTTAGACCCCTGGCTATAAAAACAATTGCTTACAGGTGGACGCCGGTGAAGTTTAAAATTTTTCCAGCAATCACTAACTTTTAACTGTGACGCGTGTAATGCACCAGTTCAATGCGAAGCTTACCAGAAGTGGCCTGCCCTGTAAACAACCATTCCCCACTTCAAAGTGCCGAGCTGAACAAGGCATCTCCTAATATTTAGAAGCATAGCCAGCATGTTCTGAATGACTATGTTCGCTTCAACGGCTGCCATTACTAAACTACAGACAAACAATAATTCCAAAGCCTTGCAGAAAATTGTCGTCATCGTTCATAATTTTTCTTTTTGTTCGCTAACTGGCCCGGTTGAAATGGCTAGGCAATGTGTGACAGACAATATATAAAAAGTTTTTTCTCCTGACTTTGCCTGTTAAATCAGATTGTGCTTCTCCTGTTTTATGTCAGGTAAAATTACCAAATGATTTCTACATACTAAATCCCAACATAATGAGAGGAAGATCAAATTATATTTCCTCAAATTCAGAAGGTTCCATACATCTCCATAGTATTTGGTAGAGTTGCATTTGAATGGGGTTTTTGATAACTGCTTCAAAACCTTAACTTTGTTTTCCTCAAATCACATTTTAACTAATCTAGTAGTGGCTTGGTTACAATCACTTCCATATTTATGAAATCCATTTTTGCCCAAGGTTAATGTGTTTAACAACATTTTCAGATTATGTTCTTCTCTCAGGATACTGGTGTATTTTGTGAAATACACTAGCCCCTCCTGCAACAGTCTGGGGATGTTTTCAGGTGTGTAGCAGGCCATTTCATCCACATACTACATTTTGGAGTCTTGAAAGAGGATACGTCTCCACATATTAAGGTCCTTGCCCCTGATGGCATTTGAGAACCATTATCTGGTGTTTCGTGTTGCTTTTGGAGCAATTACTTCATCCTCGCTCCATCCATGTTTGAAAGTGTTAAAAGGTGGATAATGAACCTCTCTTTCCAGGTTCAGTCAGCATCTTCACCAGGTCTTATGCTTCTGTGCATAAAGAAATGAAATGAAATGAAATGAAATTTTATTCGAACATGATACAAATATAAAATAAAAT